AAAATGCAGTATTTGAACTTCATTAATAGAACCACCACTTTTAATAGCTTAGCTACAGGCCTAATGTTTAGGTTTGCATGTTAGAACCATATCACCCCAATTTTATTTTCCGTACACTGGCTGCCTGTTAAGTTCCATATTGATTTCAAAATATTTCATTTTACCAATAAAGCTATTATATAATCAATTATGAATAGTCTAGTTCCTGTTTATCTAACAAAACTTTCTGTCTTGCTACAATACAACCTGATATTTAAGATCTCATCACTCATGGCTTCTGATTGTACCCAGAACAGCAAAATCCACTAAAGGAGGTTGAACGTTCTCATATATGGCTCCTAAACTCTGGAATAGCCTTCCTAATAAAGCCTCAGACATAGGTACTCTCTCAGTTCAAAACTAGATTAAAGGTCTTTTTAGTAAAATACACACACAATGCATCACATAATTGTAGAATGCATGAGTGGAGGGGAGTTTGCTTGACAAACCACCCATAGGACACACTCGTCTTAATACTTATATGTTTTATATGTTTCTTTCTATGTTTGTTTATATAACTGCTCTTTTAATTTGTAGCACTTAATTATCGCATTGACATTTAATATTGTAAATGTGAAATGCTAATTATGCCTATACTGAGCCCTCTAGAGGCTGTGCATCGCTATTGATGAGATCAAAGACCTGTGAAGATATGAAGTCAAATACTCTTCATTGAACATATCGACAATAGACATCACCTACAGTTAAGGTCAAAATTATTACTCCCCTTGTTTATTTTCCCAAAAAAATTGGTTTAACAGAGGGAAGATTCTTTCAACACTTTTCTAACCATAATATTTTCAATAACTAATTTCTAATAACTGATTTTTTATTTTTTTTTTGCCATGATGACAGTAAATAATATTTGACTAGATCTTTTTTAAGACACTTATACAGCTTAAAGAGACATTTTAAAGGCTTTATTAGGTCAATTAAGTTAACTAGGCTGATTGGGGTAATTAGGCAAGTTATTGTATAATGATGGTTTGTTCTGTAGACTATCGAAAAAATTGCTTAAAGATGCTAATGATTTTGATCAATTTGATTAATTTTGATTTTAATAAATAAATAAAAATGTATTTTATTCTAGCTGAAATAAAATGAATAAGACTTTCTCCAGAAGAAAAAAATATATCAGACATACTGTGAAAATTTCATTGCTCTGTTAAACATCATTTTGGAAATATTTGAAATTATTTGATTTGGGCTAATATATCTGACTTCAACAATATATATATATATATATATATATATATATATATATATATATATATATATATATATATATATATATATATATATATATATATATATATATATATATACTATTTAACAGGTTTACTATGTTTATATACTGTTTAATAACTTTAACTGTTAAAAGCTTGCTAGTTACTAGTTACTAGTTAATTAGTTATTTGTAATGAATAAAGTCATAGTGACTAATAACCTTAACTTTTCTGTATTTCATATTATTGCAATAATATGCTCCTTTAAAAAGTAAAGATGCTTTAAAACAATTATTGTGAAAGGCATTTTACAAATAAACTTGAATTGAATTGAAATGAATCACTCAAAGGGTTAGTAGGGAAATTGCATTAGAAATATTAGAATTAGTCCCTATGCTATCTTTGATGTATTGAGCTGGCTTACAACTTGCACCAAGTAGTCTGATCTGGCCAAGCCAGAGAACATGAATTTGCCCAGCATTATCTAAAAATCATAATGGAGCCATTTACGGGCTGCACTTAGCTCTCATAATGCATGCCAGTATACATGGAGAGTCTGAACCACAAGCGCCGCTGCACAGATTTCAGCGCGATTACCACAGGCTTTCTGGGAACTCTCCCAAACAAAGAGATTAGGAATTCGAGGTTGAGAATTGCATTTTGATTATAGTTTGATGTTTGTTAATCACTGTATGATTCCAACACTTTCAGCGTTATTTGGTTCTAAGTCTACAATTGCATTTGCTTGTGTATTGTGTTTCCTGCTGCATGATGCAATAGAGCAGCAGGGAACATAATGCAACAGAATATGCCGTGTTTCTGTGATGGAACATTTTTATGTATTTTTACTTAAAAGAACATCTGTCATGGTTGTCCTGGATACAAACAGAACTGAAAAAATAACATTGCACGGCATAAACTAAACATGTTTTATAACTTAAAAAAAACAAGCATTATTCTTTGTTTTTCCTTCGGCTTAGTTTCTTATTTATCAATGGTTGCCACAGCAGAATGAACCTCTAATTATTCCATCATGTTTTACAAAGCGAAGGCCTTTCCAGCTGCAACCTAATACTGGGAAACATCCATGCACTCGCACATTCACACACACTTATACACTACGACCAATTTAGTTTATCCCATTCACCTGTAGCGCATGTCTTTGGACTGTGGGGAAACTGGAGCACCCTGAGGAAACCCACGCGTACAGGAGGACAACATGCAAACTTCACACAGAAATGTCAACTGGCCCAGCTGGGAGTTGAACAAGCAACTTTCATGCTGTGAGGCGATAGTGCTTACCACTGAGCATGCCACCCAAACAGCATAATATAAAGACATTGTAAGGTCTGTCAGCTCTAGGGTTCTGGGGTACAGCATTTAAGTCAAAACACTGCATGCAAAATAATGGATGAGTTAAGATAATATTTAGCCAGTTAATGGAGTAGTAAATGCTGGATTATGGTTAAAAAGTGATGTAAATATTGCTGTTGACTTTTCCCTATTTAAAATTTTAATTAGTTTATTGGAGGTGTTTTGTATGCATTTCAAAATCATTGCATTTAATGTATATTATCAATAATAATAATAAAAAATAAATAAAATAAAATTCATTAATTTTCCTTCAGCTTAGTCTCTTTTTTATCAGGGTTTGCCACAGCAGAATAAACCGCCAACTAGGCATAGGCTGATATAAGATTCTGATGGTATGTTGGATAACCTTGGATAAAAATTTCATGGTTTCACGATATTGTGATTAGTGATTACTGCTCTAAATAATATTATTTCAAATGTCTGGGTAGAAAACAAAAACTTTTTTCCTCTTTTGAACACAATAAAAGAAACAAGAAACATTTAAAATATTTTGGAGCAGTAAACATGTCAGGATAATTAATTTTTAAATTCTGCTGTTTTCGTTTGTTTCACAACATATTTTTTTCACAATTTAAAATGGCATCTTTAGATATCTTGTCTGCTAAAGATACTGCTGTCCTAAAAAAACAAACAAAAAAAACACGAAATAAAAAAATCCTACACATACCTTCGGAACGGTATTGCAGAAATTGTTGATGGTTTTAAAAACTTGACTTTTCTAAACCGTGGTATATCTTGAAAACGGTTATCATCACATGCCTGTCGCCAACTACTCTGGTGTATGTTTTATGCAGCGGATGCACTTCAAACTGCAACCCAGTACTGGAAAACACCCATACACTCGCATATACTACAGACAATTTGCTTAATTTAATTTGCCAAAAGCGCATGTTTTTGGATTGTGGGGGAAACTGGAGCCATGGGAAACTTTTAACTTTCTTGCTGTGAGGCGACAGTGACAACCTGTTCCACTGTGCCGCCATCACAAAATCAGGGTTTTATCTGTAGCAGGGGTGTCCAAACTCGATCTTGAAGGGCCGATGTCCTGCATAGTTTAGCTCAAACTTCCTTCAACATATCTCATTGTAAGTTTCTAGTATACCTAGAAAAAGGAAGTGTTTTTAATTGGGTTGGAACTAAAATATGATTTAAATAAAGTTATAATTATATTTATTTAGCTTATTATTTTTCAAACCCACAATTTCAGATAATGCTATCAGAATAAAACTGGTCCCTCATTTATCCCAGAACAAATCTTATTATTATATAGTTTAGCATTTTATTACTTAAACGACTCATACAATTTTCGTAGGTGGTTTTCTGAGATTTTTTGCAAAAAAAAAAAAAAAAAAAAAACATCTGCCAATCTATTCTAATAAATGTTTAAAACAGCAAATTTTGATTAATATATACTTACGGTCTGATCTCACAAGGAAACATAAGTATTTTTACATTTTGCAAATTTAGTGGCTAAATCGTCATTCGTAGGAAAATGTAATTTTAAAAAGGTGTGCTACTACAACAACCTCTATCACTACTACTACTGATACTACTTCAATAACTACTGCTAGTACAACATCTACATCAACAACTTCTAATAATTTTGATACTACTACACCAACAATGTCTACTGCTACTGCCGATATATTAAAACTACTATTTCAACTATTTCAACAACCAAAACTACTACTACAATTAGAAGCAGACATTGTAGTAGTAGTAATATTAGTAGTGGTAGTCATTGTTGTAGTATCAGTAGTAGCACTCTGACCTGTCCATCTAATTAACTTTACATGCACACACACACACACATACATGCAAACACACGCACCTGCTAGTACCTGGTTGTTGTTTGTGTTTTTTCTCATCTGTTTTTGTTGTTGTGTGTTCCTTTTGCATATTCTAAAAAGAAAAAAAAAAAAAAGAAGAAGAAGAAGAAGGTGTGGCACTCAACCCCACCTAAGCTAATCGTACTACTGTAAATTGTACTAATGAGATACAAATTCATACAAATTAGCCACTTAATCAAAAAGTTACAAGTTGTCATGAGATTGTATTGATATTTAGCATACATGCAACAGTTCCATCATTTGCTTCCAAAATCTTAATTTTTGAGTCCTGCAATACAAAAATACATTCATCAATAACATTGTACCAGTTCAAATTAAGTAGAATTATTAATGTGGATGCTCCTTTTACGTTATATTTACAAGCTGTTCAAAGTTCAACAGAAATTAAACAACAGTGGCATTTTATCTTTAAATATTTAATCAAGTTAATGAGTCAGGTGTCATGACTCAATCACTAATAAATGCAGCAATCAGCATCTAAATATCAGCTATTTTATTAATAAGTTATAAAGTATATTGGAGTTGCCATTGCATACAGAATCCACTTTAAGATCTTTCTCAAAGTTCACTCATAACTGGCCTAAAGTTCAGTCCACCTCAGTTAATGTTTACACACTCTTCCACTTTCTTTCTGCTCAGCCGCATCTGCTAAACCAAAGGCATTTTTCTTCTTTGTCTACATGAAATATATCTGGAAACGAAGAATGGATATTAGTTCACGAGCAATTTTGCTGTAAACAGTGCCTAGAGGATTGCTAGCTAATTCTACTCTGAAAAAAGGTGAGGCATTCTTTTCCTCATTATCATATTTTTCATTGTAGTAAGGATTCAAGGAGATTTGCATGGTGGCTTCATTTCACAACTGCAACACAAACTGTTAAAGAAGTATATTTTATGTACATTCCAATTTAATACATTGCAGTCAGCATGCAGATTGGTATGCATTTGCCATATTCTCTGGTATGCTTTTCATTCCTGGCTAAATTGACATTGCATGACTTGCTGAATTTGATGAAATAAACGCAATGCTTTACAGTATTTGTTTTATTTATTAGAGCTAATAAAGAGAACATTGAATTATTGTTCAAGTATATCAACAGGTTTTGGGAAAATGGCAATGTAACTGCTTACTATTGTGGTTTCATTTTCAGGAAGGCTGGCGATGTAACTCAGTTTTGTGATTTATAAAGACTGATAAATACAGAACCGATGGCAATCGAAAAGGGTATGGTACATACATACTACAAAAAATAATTGTAAGCTCAAAATCCAAGTAAATTTGGGGATGTTTCAATTAAAGAACTGTAAAGACAAAGCAATGAATGAGGATAAAATTAAGAATCAATAGTTACAACATATGCCTGAAATACTAACTAAATGTTTCACATTTACTGTATTATCTGAGAATCCTTCACCTATTATTTACATTTAATACATTATTCTTCCCCTCAGTGAAACTAGGACTTTGCCCTTTCAGATAAACCTATGAAAAATGGTCTACTGCACATTTATTGCTCTGCATTTCAAATGTTGGTCTTATCTACATTTGTTACCCATTTCACCCACGTGTCAACATCATTGTGTTACTCATGATTGAAAACAAATAGACTTCACCCTCAAAACAAATACTGTACGGGCAAGGTTAGAAGTAGGTGTAGTGGTAAAGGTATAAATCATTGTACTTTAGCAACAATAACACAAATGTGCATGAAACATACAGTACCTGGCAACTTTATTTACTTTTTTTTTTATCATAGTGACGGATATTCCCTCTGATAATGTATATGCTTATGCATTATCAAAAACCCTCACCAAAGTCTCTTCTCCGGTGACGGTGGGTTTGTATTCAGAATGTCACAACAGGATCAACATGGTGCTCAAGAACATTGAGGGTAAGAGTACACTGTTTGAAAAACATACACATATATTATGTGTTCATATTATGCAAAGTGTAATAAGTCTCAGGTGTCACAGATCATCCAGGCCCAATCTCACAAGAAAACATAACTAATCTATGTACGAATAATTGTATAAATATGTATAAATTCATATTACTTGATATTTGGGAAAACGTCTGGGTGGTGTGGGTTTCCTCCAGGTGCTCTGGTTTCTTCCCACAGTCCAAAGACAAGCAGTACAGGTCAATTGAATAAACTGCATTATCTGTAGTGTATGTGAATAAGTTTGTATGGGGTTTCCCAATACTGGGTTGCAGCTGGAAGGGCATCCGGTGCTTAAATCATGTCACACTGTAAGATCTTAGCTGTCATAAAGTCAGACTGAACGCCAAGATGCGCCAAACACAACAGAAAACACCCTCAGGGTTTGACCACCTGGGACATTTTCACGAAACCATGTTCTGAAATGGTTCCTCAGAGAAAACATAAACAATCTGTAGCGGCAACTTTGCACACGGCGTGTCTCAATAATTGAGCCAGGAAGAAAAAAATGGTTTTGACATTTCCCTGCGATCGTTTTAATTATTGCATGGCTTGCGTCATCAAATTTAGAGCTATTGGTTCTTAGGTTGACACTCATCGCAGCTGTTATCACACTACAGGAAAGTGTCTGAAGTCTTCTGACATTACCATAACTTCATCGGAGGAAAGATCTGATCGCAACAAGCAGTAGTTTGTAAACATGTCAAACCAACGGTCAAAGATTATTGATTTAGCCTAGGATTTCAGGAATATTTTAGGATTTCCTAAATTTGTCTCAGATGATAAAATTTGTGGCTAATATCTTACAGTATGAGCTGGGATACGTCAAAGGAGAAAGAAAGAAAGAAAGAAAGAAAGAAAGAAAGAAAGAAAGAAAGAAAGAAAGAAAGAAAGAAAGAAAGAAAGATTTCAAAACAAAATAAAAATTTTCAAAAGCTTTGTACTCAAACCCCACCTCTCATTAGGGAATGAGCATATTGTACTAAAATATACCACTGAGATCATACAAAGTAATACTAATTAGCCACTAAATTGAAAAGTTATGAATTGCCATGAGATTGTGTTTATTTGTTGTTCTATGCTAAAATTCACCCTTTTAGTTTAAGCAAAAACATGTTGTTTATGCGTTTGTCACTTTAAATGTAAATTATCTGCTGCTCTTTGCCATCTTTTCCTTTAACCATTTTAATCTTTTGCTCCAACAACAAATAAATTGTCTGCAAGTATTGTAAAGTCTTGTCAATTTAACAATCTTATCTAGGGTTTAACACTAGCATTACTTTTGGGACATTTGAGGGAGTCTGAGTGTTCAAAAAAACTTAAAGACACAGAGAATCGAAAAGTTTTTGACTCATAATCTGATCCATTTGAAATAATTGACCCTGCAAACTATCACAGATGTCCTCATAAAACCCTTGAGATTTTAATGTTTTCCTATTTTTTTCTCCCATTTTCAGTTCATATGAATCAAGAGGGCAAAAGAAGGGAAGAGAAATACACCAAAGAACCAAAGCCTCGCTCAGTTAAACCCTCCATCTCTAACCTCATCTCTGTGATCTTCCGGCTCCTCTTCTGTCGGCCTGTGTGGACGGAACAGAACCAGAACATGAAGAACGTTCGCTATATTTTTGTCAGGTTCAGTGCATGGCATTTTGCAGGAAGTGACCTGCTTTGGGCTGGACTGGTAATGCAGTTGAGCAAAGCTCTTCAGCACAGCTTTGGAAAGCTCCAGTTGGCTCTTTTCCGGATAGCCCAATATGATGAAGAGGAAGATGCAAAGAAGAAGATGATCGAGGATATTCCAAAGAACTGGAGATCCAAAAAGTTGGGATGCATTCCCATTTGGGCACTAATACTAATGATAATCATTGCATCGCTCCTTATTTTGGTTCCCCTCATCATATTTGGATTTTCATATCTGAAGGGCGACCAACAAAATGAGGAATCAAGCAGTTATGGTGTGATTGAAGGTTTTGCCATCACTGCACTTGGTGTTCCTGCTGTAGGAGCTCTACGATTTATAATATTACTGTTGAAGAACCTAATTCTCAACCAGGATCTGAAAATTAGACAAGGACTGGACAACAAGAAGGTAAGTGAGCAGCTGGGACTAATGCATGAAGTTCGGAAGGAGATGAGGCTTCTGTGCTGCTTCATTTTCTTTATGGAGATCTTTGAAAGAAGGAGGATCAGGGTAGTGCTGGAGATCACCAACTTGGACCGCTGTACGCCAAAGAAAATTGTAGGGGTTTTGGACGCCATTAACATCCTCCTATCTGATGACGAGAGCCCCTTCATTTCTGTGCTTGCTGTTGATCCGGAAGTTCTTGTTAGGCAGGTCCAACAGGCAGAAGATTGCTTAAGGAAGAGAAACACTGCATACGACTTTCTAGACCGTATAATCACATTGCCTTTCACTGTACCTCCGCTTTCAGATTCATCAAAGTCAAGTGTCTTTGAAAACATTGTTCGTGGTCAATCAGAGATCCCTGAAGAGATTCCTCTTGAGACTGGAGCATCTACTTTTAAAGGTCCTGGGACATCATTTTCTGTTGAAGATGAGTATTCTGTAAGGTTCGATGAGACTAAAGAAGAACAAGAGATTCCTTTAATTGGAAAAAAAGCAAACAATGAAACATTTGCTGTAGCAGAACTTAATCTAGAAGACGTAGACAGGTTTATCGAATCTGCATTTACCTTCATATTTTCAAGAGATACAAGCAAACTTAATAAATATTTGTCTGGAGACACTATGTCCATGAGACGAGTGATCAACTCCATTAGAGTAACTATCATGATCATGGAGATCCGAAAATTGGAGCCTCCACATCCTGAGAAAATTGCAGCATGGATTGTTTTGTTGGATCGCTGGCCTTGCAGAGTGAGTTGGATTCTTCAATGCGTTGAAGATGACCAACAGAGTTATGAAATAGATGATTCATCCTGTGCTGCCGATGCTACCAAGACAATATGGGAAGTGTTCAATTACAACAGTCTGGAGCTCTGCATGATTGAACATGCAGTGGAGAACTTTCTGGAAAGAGATGGGGACCCTGAGCTTTTTGAGATTTTCCTTAGGAAAGACTTCAAGTTCACTGTTAGGGAGCTGGAAATGTTTAAGCTCTGCACAGTGAACCTAAACTACTCCATCAAGAAGGAGTTGGCCAGGGTCCGTGGGAGACGCAGACTGAGGAGAGCAGGGAGAAATGCTTTCCAATCCATCTCATCACGAACTCTAATGAACATGAACCCCGAAGATATCTGTCAAGAGGTTTGTAAAAAAAGTCTTAGTTTATACATACTGCTGTACTCCTTACACCGCATATTGCAAATGTTTGAGATTGGTAAGGTGTTTTAATTGTTTGATGAAACAAACAGGCTGCATTTATTTAATTTAAAACACAGTAAAACAGCCTGAAATGTTGCATTATAAATTACCCACTATGATGTTGTTGCAAAACCCTGGGACCTTCATTTTTTTTCATTGAAAAGCCTTTAATTGTTTCATACACATTTACATGCAGTGAAATTGCCCCCTGCCCAAATCACGTGGCAACGGTGCTAGTTTCTCCCTAATGTTTTCCAATTTGCAGTCTAAGGCCACAGTTTGAGTGCCAACAACCCTGCTCGCCACCGTTAAACCCAGCCGGCCAGCTTAGTGGGGTTTCGAGCCGCACTGACCGCTTTTACCAATCGTCGATACCCAAGGGCCCCACCTAAGTACATCAGCGAAAACCCTGTTATCAAAGTTTTGAATAAATAGATATCTTCAATTTTCTCCAGGGACAGAGCGGACAGTTCCCCTAAACCCGAACATGTCATCGAGAAGGAGTCAATTACGTTCAGAGATCAGTTGATCAAATCCATAATTGCTTATTGTTTGGAGAGCAGGGCAAGGAGAGCCTCAGAGATAGAATAAGGCAAGACAAGAGTAGCCAGCCAGGAGAGATATGGGAGGAAGAGGAAAAAAGAGTGACCGCCTTCACCAAAAGCCAAAGAGTTCATTGTCGGAACACAAATTAAGATGTTTTATAGAAAATCTAGGTATCTAGATGTGCACACACAAGTATTCTTATAGCTTCTTAATATTCCAGTTGAACCACTGAAGGCATATAGTCTCAGATTTCATTGAAATGATATTATTTTATGTTCTGAAGATTTTCAAAACGTCTCAGGGGTTTTGAAATAACATTTTCATTTTTAACATTTGATGAATCTTTGAAAAATTAAAGTATTATTTAATTGGTACTACAATTTGGTTGTATTAGTTAATGCATTTACAACCATGAACAAACAATTAACAATACATTTACTACAGTATTTGTTTATGTTTGTTAACATTAGTTCATGAAAATACAGTTCATTGTTAGTTCATGTTAACCATTAGTGCATTAACTAATCTTAGCATAAATTTGGATTTTAATAATGAATTGGTAAATGTTGAATTATGATTAATAAATGCTGTACAAGTGTTGTTCATTCATAGTTCATGTTAGTAAATACATTAACTAATAAACCTTATTGTAAAGTGTGACCATTAAATGTCTTGAATAAATCTAATTGAGCACACATATATGCTTTTACATTCACAATTAAAAATTAAGTGTTTAAATATGTGCATTTTTACCTTTTAGATGACAAAACTAAGCCTCCCAGAGAAATACCTCGAAACGGTAAGGACAAATTTCATAGATGGCAGAACAATCCTCTTCGGTGACCCCAAAGACCTCAGGCAAGTCCTGCAAATGACTCTGGGTGAATGGATGACTTTTAAATTTCATTTCCTTGGGGTCACACCTTCTAGTCGACCGGCTCAACCACAAAGTCATCTAGCCGCCACAAACCCTGGAGTGGTCATATGCCCATCTGGCCATGGCCGGTAAGCAGGATAACTGACCTTGAGGTTTGCATCGTTGCATTTTCCTCATGTGTATGCTTTCAGTGGACTATGATTGTTTCAGGAAACAATACTGCATCCCTACATAAATATAATTCCCTTACGGCAGAGCGAAAAAACAAGACTGTAAATGTACACCAGTGAATCAGACTGCTCAACAAAAGTGCTACTTGAAAACAGCTTTGTTATTCAGAAAAATCTTTTAGCATTCAAACAGATCAAATTTGTTAGATGCATTATTTATAATGGGAACAAGACATTTCATTTCTTTTAAGCATTAGGAAGATTTTCAAATGGTTCTTAATGAAACTGAACATCATTTCTGCATGAATAAAAGCAACCAGTTTATTCTTTTTTATTATTATTTTTTTAACTGTGCAGCATAGAGGGTAATACAATATACAAGCTTGCTGGATTTTAATTGTTGTATTGATTCTATACGTTGAATGATTTTACAAACCATGTAAAATGTTGATCAAAAACATGGAAAACTCTTTCCTCAAACATACATACCTGAGAAACTGAAGGTCAAATGATAACCTGATAATGTCAATACTGTCTGGCTATTAAAGGCGCTGTATGTAAGTTTTCGACTCATCTAAAGCATACAAATACCACAATATAGTTGCAGATATTTAAGAAACATGCTAAATGAACATTCTTGTTTATCTGAAAAACAATGCTAAAGGCAGAAATTCTGCTTTGTAAATGTGAGTTGCAGTACGTACAGGAACGCTGTTTTTGTTTTGATAATTTTAACTCATCCACTGCCACATTAGCCAATTATATGTCAGCACCCCGAGTTACGCTGTTGGAAAAACATGTATTAATATTAATTATATATATATATATATATATATATATATATATATATATATATATATATATATATATATATATATATATATATATATATAGAGAGAGAGAGAGAGAGAGAGAGAGAGAGAGAGAGAGAGAGAGAGAGAGAGAGAGAGCCTTTTCAGAGCTCAAGGACACTTTACAAAGAATGTAACAAAAAGAGATAGTACAAGCAGACATTGAAAGAAACAGTAAGCAAGTAGAGACAACATATGTATACAATAATACAGGAAGTCAATTATAACAAACTGGAAATACAAAAGACCTAAGAGACAAATTAGCAGAGTGCAGATGGATCAAATAAAGTCAGATCAGAAGTGAAGTATTCAGAAAACAAGCAAGTTTTCAGTGAATACTTAAATTCTGAGATATTAACAGAACGGAGTGAAGAGTTAATGACACTAAATAATCTGCCCCCCAATGATGAGAGGTGGTACCGGGGGACAGCAAGAAGGCCAGAGTCAGAGAAACGTAATGAGCGAGTAGGGGTGTAGGGGACAAGCATGTTGCAAAGATAAGACAGAGCTAGGCCATTTAAAGATCTAAATGCAAGGAGGAGAATTTTGAATTTAATGCGATATGCAACTGGGAGCCAATGGAGGTTGTACAAGATTGGGGTTATATGAGCAGAACATTTGGTATGAGAGCCGCATCGTTTTAAATATATTGTAATCTGAAGATGAGGCTGGCAGGCAGACCAATGGAAAGGGTATTACAGTAGTCAACAGACGTCATGGACATGGTCTCAGCATCCTTGATTTAATGTGAGATTTAATGTGAGTCGAAGATTACACCTACATTTTTGACAGAAGTAGATGTTTTAATGTGAGAGCCAACAATATCACAGGAGGAACTGGTCGAAATATTGCTGGTAAGTGCTGGGGTGCAAAAAAAAACCAAAAAAAAAAAAAAACAGTTTTGTCCATGTTGAGTTTCAAAGAATTTGAGTTAAGCCAATCATTAATGTTTTTCACACAAGCAGAGATTTTATCAATTTGGGCAGATGAAGTAGGTGTACAGACAGAGTAAAGTTGAATATTGTCTGCATAAAAGTTATAAATTAGCCAATGACGTTGTAAACTCAGAGCAAGTGGGATTAGGTGTATTGGGAACAATAATGGGCTTAGAACAGATCCCTGGGGAACACCTCGCTTCAGGGGGACAGTGGGTGACTGAAAATCCTTAACAGAGATGAAGAATTGACTATCTGAGAGATATGAAGAAAACCAAGAGCAAGCAGTACCAAAAACACCTAGATCAGAAATACCCAGTATATTTCATTCATTCATTCAGAAAGGCTCTCAAAGCATGTGCCTTTGACCTTTGAAATGTGATCTCCGGTGGACAGTAGCAGACTCTAAAATAAAAAGCACATGCAAAGTCACACATGAGGTTATTAATTAGCAAATAATATAAATATTACAAACGAAAACATTATGTGAGCAGATGTGTCTTAACAACAAGCTACATGACAAGATTTGCTGTGAAAAGCTGTTTAGCTGTTTGCACCACAGACGAAACATGACAGAATTGTATATTCTATTAATACATATTAAACCTAATTAACATTATTGAATGTGCATGCTGAATCATGCATATGTGTTGGTTTTGAGTCACAGAGTTCAATTTCAAATGGTTTATTTTATTTTTAAGATCGGAGGTGAACTATTTGCTGCTGCTTTCAGTAGTATGGCAATAAATGCCATGTAGAATGGCATTCAAACTTATATTATTTGCATTGAACAGTGAATAAAGCACATTACGTGTACCTGAGGTGATCATAGTTTTCTGCTGTTTAGCTGAAATAGAAGTCGTTTCTAATATATCAATTCGAGGTGTTGGTTAGAACAAAAATTACTTTTTAATATGGAGAATATTCCTTCTATCACGTGCCTTTGCTTTTACATAACACAATTTGGTCCCACTTTATATTAAGTGTCCTTAACTACTATGTACTTGCTTCAAAAAATAACTACAATGTACTTACTGTGTTCATAATGTATTTGAGAACACGTGGTGCTCTTGAGTTGGGATAGGGGTTGGGTTATGGACAGATTTGGTGGTGTGGGTAGGTTTAAGGGTGGGTTAAGGTGTAGGGAATGGTCAGCAGTGTATTTACAAATGTAATTAGAGAAGTTAATTACAGACGTAATTACAAACAGGTATTTAATCAAGCACAAGTACACAATAAATACATGTATTTACAAAAAAAGTACAGTGTAACAAACTATTAACTCCTATGTAAGTATTAGTTAAGGTCACTTAATATAAAGTGGGACCTTCGATTTAAATCAGCCTTTAGGCTCAATCATCAGACTCGCTCCCGTTGGTCCTTAACCTGCTCTTGTTTTTGTTTTGATCCAGGAATGCATTACCTAGTTCAACCACTGTGTGTCAAACTTACATACTGCACTTAAAAAAAAAAATCACACAATTCTTTGGAATTAAATGTTTTCTGAACATTAATGCTCAATGTTACTATAATTTGTGTTTTATTTTGCATATTGAGTTTTTTATTGAATGTAAATAAATGTACACACATAAAAAGGAGTCATAGGCTAAAAATACAACGGCACCATTTCACAGAGGTCATTGATCAAGGTTCATATACACATAAAAAAAAGTTTATGGCCACCAAAGTTCCAGCTCATAAAGCACTCCAATAATATAAAAACATTGCTAGATAGCATCAGTGAAAATTCACATGAACATTGTGAAACAGTCAAACAACCTAACATTCCTTGAATGACCGTGTTCCACGTGAACCGTTTCTCATGAAATTTCCATGGCAGCTCCGGAGATTCCGGTTTCATTATATCACTCTGAGTTTTTCCATACAAAAACTTTGGCACTGTTCAGAATCTTTACTTTGACACTTTAGTTTTACTTTCTATAAAACTTTAATATAGGCCTGAATGACAGCGTGCAGATGTTTTTTTAATCGCACTGCCTGTCACTGAGTTTTACTTTATGCTCTGTGGGAATGAGGCTTCTGAGAAAGCAGAGAAAATATATATCTCCCATGCAGCTCAGCGGAGACCTCCCACGGATCTATGGCGGAACATAACACTAATGCAGAAGTTAGAATTTTAAGTTCTGATTGTCAAATATGTTCAACTGTGCAAGCAACATGAAAGAACATCCGAGAAAATATCAAAAATAGCATGCATCTTATGCTTGTATTTATATACACCGTAAGACAGACTCACTCATGTATAGCTATCTTTATGGGGACTTTACATAGCTGTGATGATGTGTATACTCTATAAAACTGTATATAATTTCCCCTACCCCTAAAACCAACCCTTAGAGGACACAACTTTTTTTTAGAAGATTTTTTTATACAAGATTTTTTTTTTTCTGCTACATTTTCGAAATAATTTATCCTGTGCTTCATAAGCTATTTTTGCTCATGGGGATCCAAATCATATCACACCAACACACAAATATATTTACATACAACAGTTGAAAGCAGAAGTTTGCATACACTCTAAAAAAAGGAACATAACCATTTTTTTTTATGTCTGATGGTAAATCAAACTAAATGTTTACTATTTTAGGTCCTTTAGGATTACCTAAATGCAAAATAATGGGATTTTTTTTTTTTTTTTGAGAATTATTTATTAATTTCTAGACAGTCAAAAGTTTACATACATTTCCTTGTTTTTATTATTATTATTATTATTATTATTATTTTATTATTATTTATTTATTTATTATTATTTATTTTTTTTGCTTGGTTTTGAAACTGTAAAACTTTGATCAAATGTTTTGGGCATCCTTCCACAAGCTTCTCACAATAGTTTGCAGGAATTTTGGCCCTTTCCTCCTGACAGAATTGGTGTTACCGAGTCTTTCTCGCACAAGCTTTTTCAACTCTGCGCACAAATTCTCTATAGGATTGAGTTCAGGGCTTTGTAATGGCCACTCCAAAAGATTCACTCTGTTGTCCTTAATGCACATTCAAACTAATTTGGCAGTATGTTTAGGATCATGGTCCGTTTGGAAGACCCATTTGTGGCCAATTTTCAATTTCCTGGCTGATGTCTTAAGATGTTGCTTTAGTATTTCTACATAATGTTCATTCTTCATGATGCCATCTATGCTGTGAAGTGGACCAGTCCCTCCTGCAGCAAAACAGCCCCACAAAATGATGCTGCCACCCCCATACTTCACAGTTGGGATGGTGTTCCTTGGCTTGTAAGCTTTCCCCTTTGTCCCCAAAATGTAACACTGGTCATTATGGCCAAACAGTTCAATCTTAGTTCCATCAGACCACAGGACAGGTCTCCAAAAAGTAATATTTTTCCCAGTGTAATTTAGCAAATTGTAATCTGGCTTTTTTGTTGACTCTGGCTTGCTGATTTTCCCATGTTGTCATACAAGGAAGCAGTGTGTTTGAGGTTTTCCTTGAACACTATTCTACAGTTGTGCCTCCAATTAACTCAAATGTTGTCAATTAGCCAATCAGAAACTTATAAAACCTTAAC